AGGTGCGTTCCAATAAGTCTTCCTACCAACATGACCATGTTGCGAAAACAAGGTCAAACAACCTCTAAAATACAGACTACTCTTGACTGAGCAAACAGTAAGCGAACGAAATGTTGGTTAGTTTTACGATTTGTTTTTGCTATCTAAACTTCATCCAAAATAAGCGGATTCCTCGATTAGTTGGAATCCAGCCCAATTTGTGCTGGGATGTTTTCGGTCAGATCGAACAAGTGAGAAGGATTGAGATGAACAAAAAGGACGTCAAGATCATGCGTTCGTTGTGTAGAGGTCTTGTGACTTCGCAAGCAATACTTGCGGCAAGTGACAGTCTCACTTTCAACTGAGGCCCGAGTCCTTCATCTGGTGGTTTCCTTTAGATTTCGTGTCCCATAGTTACATCGATAAATAGTGGACGTTTTCAAGGTACAAGTTACCGGATCTGGATTCTTCCATGAACCAAATCGCGGGTCGACTTGCAGGAATGGAAGGTTTGCTAGGTCTGGGCAAATTTGGTAAGTCAGCAAATGACGAGTTCCATCCAATGACAAAGTTGAAAATGGAAAGGTTGGTTTGGGTCAGTACTTGGTTGTTTGAATTGTCTTGAATTTATTTTCTAAATTTAACTATGTCGCCAAGACGATTGGTGTCCTCTGTTGGAGTGATCACGATAATTTACAGCGTCGGGCTTTGGACTTGGTAACTTTCCAGTCGTTTCGCCGTCCATCTGTTGGCCTGGTACAGGAAATCGGATGGTTAGTCGAGAAATGGACCTGACCTGTCTTTTGGACGAATTGTAGTTTTTTGCCAAGAATGACATGGTACATTTACTATGCCGATTTAGAGGCCCTTAAGACTTCAGGAAATATACAAATTCCGTGCTCCAACCCTGACAATTAAGATCATTACCTCCGGGAGGTCACCATGTCAACAGGAATAGGTTACGAAAAAACGAGGTCAGACAAATTATATACAGAAAAATGCATTCATTGTTGGGGAAATCGTTCCTTCATATGGAGGTGCATGGTACTGCTCCTGCTAATTTTGCTCGAGATAATTGGCCAAATCATCCTGTATCTATCTATGTCTAATCATTTTCGTTTTTGGCTATGAGAATGTATAAGAAAATTCGACTACCTTAAACAAAATAGGGTGAATATATCTCATATATAAATCCAAGAGGTAAGCTATAGCCGGTTAATCTTCTCGACTTGGTGCTTGTTAACGTGAGACTCTTACAAGAATGAGTTCCAGCTTCGATGATGCCCATTATTTGATGGACGAAAGATCAGCTCGTGGACTCCGTCAACCTGCGAATCTCTTCTTCATGCCCTTTCATATGAAATAAAGGTCTCCTCAACAAAATCCAGTTACTCTTTGTATCTTTCAAATGCATACCAAAATGGTGTGACAACTTTCACTGTATAGAAGTCGATTGACCTTGCTTTCGCAACTTGATTGTATTGTCAAGGTGGTCTTGGTGAACACAACCGAAGTCCGAAGTCTTCTGCCATTGTGGTCATGCTCATTTCCAGCATCGTACCGTGAATATGACATACTTCCACATATTTTACCGGCATCATCAGTGAGTCTTGGCCCTCTTAGCTTCAAGTTGCGAAAAAGGGTCAAACCACTTTCATGCACAGTGAAAGGAGACTGCGGCCAAAATAGGAGTCATGTCATCTTGATCTTCATAAATGCGATTAAATTAGGAAACGAAGAGTGCCAAGCAATGCAGCCGAGCAAAGAAAATCATGCAAAATCACAAATAAGATATTGTTTGGTTTACTGAACACATGCCTTTGGGTGGTGCGATTCAGGCGACTGGCTGTTTTGCAAAAGTTAATCAGACAATCTCTCGTTTCAGTGCCGAAAGGACTGGGCTGAAGTGAAGTATGAAATCGACTAACTAGAAGCCCCATATGTTTCACATAATTTCATCATTATGCAGAAAATTAGCACAATTATTCATAATAAAAAACATCAGCCTGGAAAATATTTTTAGATGGGTTCTGGGGAAACGACGCAGAATAATCAAGACCAGCAATTTCACCGTTTAGTCAAGCGTATAATCGTTCATACATACAGAGACGCAGAGAAGCCAATGCATGTTTGCATACTTGCGACAGCTAATTAAGGAAGTCTTTTTGTGGCAGTTGATTATTTGAAGCAAATAAATGTAAAGGTTTTTTCACAGTCCATAGCCACGGTTCGACTCAGTTGGCACACATATCACAAGAAGGCACACCACGAAACAACGCCATTTGTCGCTTAGCCTCAGACATTGTGTTTACTGACTTCGGGATCGGGGATGGAAATCATGTCTGTTCATTCGACTTGACCGGCCCGAAGAAGAAACACCCAATGCTGATCTGAAATTTGAAATGCCGCAGTTTCTATTAGCTGAATTGCTTCGGTCTGACGTCGTGTTAGCAACCATACTTTGATAATGTACCGGTCCGCGGTCAGAAGTTGGGTATTATCATAATTATGATAGGAGATGACTGAGAATGTGTTGAGTTCACCTATTTCCCCCTGACAACAGGATGACATTGTGAAAATGAGGTAAAGTCACACATATGCAACGAAATGAGATTGCGACTGAAACAGACGCCACAACATCTCGGTTTTCATATCTACAATCATAGCTTAATGCAGCCTGGCAACTCGGAGGAGGACCCAATGTGGTCTGCTTTCTATGAAAATGCTTGGCATCCTCCTTAATCTTTATCAGATCTGCCTACAACCATGATCGGGATCAAAAATAGCTCTAAGTTGTTAGCAGTAAATCGTTGAGAAAGCCCTTATACAATCATTCTACTTCAATTTATGCATAGTGTTGGCGCCTCTGCTTAAATCCACATCACACGCAGACAAAAGGACACAACCACAAAACGAGCAGATAGAGATATGCATATACACGCATAGATAAACCACATGCACGCATAAATATACGCGTGAATTCACTAACACACACATATGTAAATAAATACATGCATCACATATACACACATGCATAGGTGCATGCACACATACATGAATACATACCTACACATGTGCATATATACACAGATATATGCATACCTATATGCATAAATAAACGCAAGCATATGCATAAGTATTCATGTGCAGACATAGACATGTGTAGACACGTATACTTGTACACTTATGCATACATGAGCACACACATACTTACACTCATTGATACATACATACATACATACAAACATATAAGTATATACCCTTCATTTACATCATGAATGCATATATACACTCTCGTAACGGGACAGGGGTCACTGACGAAATGTATCCACTTCAACCTTGCAAATGAAAACTCGAAAAGGACTTTTATGAGGCCTTTTTGAAGTACACTTTAGGTAGCCATGATGCTTGCTGGTTGTTGAGGCAGTGATGTGTATCGAAAATTTCTACGAATAAGATTAAATCTCACTATACCCGACGCCTTTAGAGATTCCAATGTAGTGTTTACTTGCTGAAACGAGTCAGGTCGTGGCATCCTGCATAAATCTTCACATTTAGGACTTGATGCTACTTACGTCTGTGAATAAGATGGCGTCATTCATTCAAAGATGTGAAAGAAATAGTTAATTAGGCGTTTTGCTAGATGAAACTTGCTCATCAACCGGCATATTTTCATGCTCTTCTACATTTTATGACCCATCAATAATTCTGTCTTTGGTGAATTTGTGTCTAGAAGAGCTTTTTCTGTTACATTCTTGTAACGCGACTTCATTTCGAAGAAAAATTGGATTTGAAAAAATTCTTGAAACTGAAGAAAGATTAATCGCCGTGGAGTGGATACCATTGGATTATGCGAGGAATTCCTCGGTTCGGCATCCTTCAACTCCGATGAACCTGTGATAAACTTTTATCTGTACCATTATGGCAAGTACCGTCAGAGCAAGAAAGCCTACTTTACAAAAAAAAGGCAACACTCACTAGCCTGCCAAAATATTGCCCCATTCGGACTGTACTGTATATATTACCTCGCCTGGGTCTCTTCATCACCTAAAAATGGACCTCGAAACGGGGCCGTTCTAATTATAGTGGCAGTATTATCAATGTTACAAGTTTACATTTTTATTTGCAATCGACGATATTACTATCAAATTAATCAGTAGTCCTCGAGGCTATCAGTAAATTCTGACCAAGAAGGATGATGTAAAGACGACTAAAAAACAAATTGTCATGATAAATCGATCAGAAGGCCTGCCGATGCCAAATAATTTCACCCCGTCCCATTATTACACCCCCAAGAAGCGTCCAGTCTGCAAATCACTTTGGCCTATTTGTCGGAGGATCAGGCAGAAGACATTGACGGTAAAGAAATGACAAGTCAACCTGTAGATAATACCAAACCGAGGACTAACGGACCGGCGGATTGTGACAATACGCAATAGACTCGGCTGGAGCTGGTCTTGAGAGGCAGAACTCGACTCGGCGATTGAAGTGATGCACACGAGCGTCCTGACTTGGGGAGAAGACCTCATCGTGCCAAGTCAGTCGGACTCCGGTTGCTAGGAGAGGCGAGTAGGCAACTAATTACTGCTTTCCTGGTAGACGCTAAGTCTCTTCCTTTGTGTACGCAGGAGGTGGAGACGGATTGGTTCGGCCGACGAGAGAAGGGGGCATAGGAGGGCGGCAGAAGAGCCTTGAACTCAGGCGGCACGACATGACCTGGAGAAGATAGGACGGCAAGGATGCTAATGGGACTGAAAAAAGGGTACATGAAAGTGGGCCGAGGGGTTGAGCAGGCAGACGAGAGCTTGTATGAGCGTCAGTGTGTGTGTGTGTGTGTGTGTGTGTGTGTGTGTTTGAGAGGCGAGTTAGTCTGTAACTTCGGTTACGTTAGAGTGGGTGAACGAGTGAGTAATTCGGAGGGCAAATTGATGAGTGCATAAGATGTGGGAAGGTTTTATGATTTGGCCAGTTGTGGGAAGAACGGTATGCACAGCTGAGTGGTTTGGCAAAATGTTGGTATGCTCCGGCTGAATGGGTGATCGGGTGGACGAGTTAGGGGCTGGTCGAGTGAAAGTCTGTGAAGCTGGATCGATGGGCGTCTGTTGTATGAAGTTGTGTGAGGTGTGTGCACGAAAGGTTGGACGAATGTGTGAGCCTGTTATGGGGTTGTCAAATGCAAGGACTTGCGTGTGAATGTACGTGTGTATGAGTGTGTGTGAGTGTAAGGGTGGAGGGGGAGGTGGGCGAAGGTCACAGCGATGCAACAACTGGTGAGTATAGACACGTGTCTATTATTCTGCCCAACAACTTAGTTACCCTTGGTTGATTAAAGTGAGTCAAGTACTAAGAATTGAGATTTCCCATAATTCTGCGAGTAGGTGACAAGATACCATTTAATTTCAAATAGTCTTGCCTCACAACGGCAAGTCGTATCAACACCCTCAACAGGATTCATGAGTATGATGATGTTGTTTTCCACTCCACTTCAATGACAAACTTCTTAGTCAAGAATTACGCGCTTGTCATATCAACGGTTGTATGTCCGGTTGTGCCTTCTTAAGTGTGTGAATCAACCTCTCATTGTGGGAAAAGTACAACTATACGAGATGTATTCACCCTATCTCATCAAAGGTGATGAAGGATTGACAGTTGTATTTT